TTCCTGGCTATCACAGCTTTCTTCAGAGCCACGCATACTGTAAAATTGTCTTTGAATGGAAGGTAACATAAAAGTATTCTTACAGAACCAGGGCAGTCCTTAATGTACTGTGCATACTCTCAGTAATGTGCACAGTGCAAATGATTTGCTATTTAAATTGACAGAATTTAGAAATACACCCAAAGATATTTCTGAAGACAAATAGCATCAGACATGCATTTCCTTTTCCACAGATTACAATAATTGCATTAACATTAACATAAGGGAAAGCCTGATCTCCTGTCAGAGTTAAACTCTTAAACTTTAAGGGCTGAGACTTGGAGTTACAGTTCTTATCCTTCTGAAAAAAAAAGCCTGTGTTATAAACAGTTCTCTGCCCGCTGTAGTCAGCAGTTTAGCTTATGGGATATAAACTGACACATGTATTTCATTTAAAAACCATAAACAAGATTTCTAACAGTGGTGCGTAGCCCATTATGTGCATTTCTATCAGATCTAGCCTCAGAATCATTCTCACGCTGCATCAGCACAAGCAGTCAAAGTGTCAGATGTAAAGATGCTGTGCATGCAGAATTCGGGAGGAACAGTTACAAAGCTGATCACTTTCACTGCACATAGGGGAGGAGAACCTATAAATCATTATACAGCACATTAGTAGACCAAGAAAATGCTCTTCCCATTATTACTAGGGCATATAACCCCTATAAGAACAAATAACGGTTAATTCCACATGGAAAGAAGATAAATACAGGTGTGTGGGACAATGAGTGCGATGGCAGCAATATAAGGCAAGGAGAACAAATGAAATAGAATGTGAGAATGGGCTTGGGAGGTGAGGAAGGATCTCAAAGGAACAGGAATGTGTACAGAATTCTGGGAAATGATGGGGAGTGTGTAATGCAGAAATTTGTCTATTAATGGAGAGATTTAGAAAGGACATACGGTAGTCAAGCACTGATCTGGGGGAATGTGTGAACTTAGCTTAAGGATTTGATAGCTTTCTGGAAAAGAAGTCCTGGAATCCTTATGAAAGGAAGCACGGAGAAACATCACTGTCATCACAGCCAGGAGACGTAAAATGATGACAGTACAAACTTTGATCCTCACTCCTCTGACGTGTTCCATGAAACCTCTTCCTCTTTATTCTCATGCACCTACTGTACTTCAAAACATTGTTTTTTCTGCTATTCACTCATTGGACACTTTTACTTGTTCCTTTGCTGCCTCCACACTGATGCAGCTTTCAACTATTATTAGTACGCCAAATACAGGAGATACTTAATTTTATAACATCTTTGATGGCATGATTCTAGAGTATTATGTTCCTTCAAGTCACACGGTAACTTATTTACACCTACACTAATTTCCCTTTTCTTACTTTCTCAAAGTACTTAAAATGTCCCTCAGCTTATCTGATATTTTGACAGTGTTATTGTAATTTATATCTGCATGTTTCATTAAACATTTACAGGGAGCATACCTAAAGCACACCTGCACCCTGACTCATTAACATTCAATAGGCCCTTAACCAAAAATGTCTGAATGGTGTCTCGCAGGGGAAAAAAATAAGTTAATCAAATATGTGTCGGCATTTGCTGTATAAATCATATGATAAAGTGCAGTGTTTTACATCTTTAAAAGGGCCATACTGTAGACACTAATTCAAAGCAATCTTCCTGTTGACATGCTTGAGTAAAACTTAAACTGACCATCTGGAGTAAGTGAAGCAGCCTAAGAAGTACTGTAAGAAAAAGACTAAGTGAAGCAGCCTAATATTCTTTTCATACTACTGAACTGGAATAGACATATTGTATCAACTTCACAGTTTCAGCTTCTATTAAAAATTAGTAGTCAAATACTGAATCATATTGTGATGCACATTTTATCTAAACTGACAAGAAATGCACAGCAATAAAGCAATATAGTGGATATACTGCTGCAGCTGAGTTTTAGCTGGGCTAGCTTGTTTGCACTTATTATGAAACAATGGGTAGTGTTTACGTGTAATAACAGTTTGTAGCTATCATTGGGAGATCAGGAAATGTGATACAAAAGATCAAAGGAATAGTATCAATAATAATAATTCACAGGTGTCAGGACAGGATGAATAAAAAAATGGACAACACAGAGGCATTATCATTATCAGTAATCCTTATCAGCTCATGTGAATTTTACTGTGAGAGACTATGCTTATCTGATTTGAAATCAGATTTGAAGTCAAATTCTGACCAGGCAATTTGACTGCTAAAAGAGTACTGCTGTCTGAGCCTTATTATTTTAGTAAGATAGCTGTTTTATTTATTTGGAAATTCTGATTTCCTTGTTCTGGAATCCATAGGCTGTCACTTCTGAGCTGGTGATAAATTATTAGAATAGGCAACCTAGTTCCCTTTCATTTGTAAGCATCCTTGTACACAGATTTTGTCCTAGTTACTATCCATTTAGTTTAATAGGACACAGGGTCTCCTTTAGCCTCGTAAAGTGCTTAGTGTTTTGTATATGAGGGTAGAATTCCAGAGATTTCTATGTCTGTAGAAGACAGTGCTCTGATTAATTACTTATCTATAAATAACTGTATATACTGTAGTTTAATAGCTGTCTGTTAGTGCTATTTTCTGTAATCAATATTTGTGCTGTCCAAGCTTTCTAACAATTACTTGTATCAAGCTCATCTGAAAGATACAGCAAAAGACACTGCTGTGTAGCAATCCCTGACTTTAGAGATTGAAAGTATTCTTAATCTTTACAGTTTACGTGCTCATCAAGCTGGTATTAATTATTACCTGATTCTTTTCTGATGTTCTGTCTTGATTGGATAACTCCTTATCTAATAATTTATCACTGGCGGCAGCAGTTCTTTTCTACCCTTATTTTTATAACAATATTGATAACAACAAAAAAGCCCTAGGAGTTCACTGGGCACATACAAAATTTACTTGGCTTAGTTTTTAAGACTAAGAACATAGATTTTTTTTCATTAGCTGAGTAATACAGCTCCTTGGGATCAAACAATATGCAGCTTTATGAAATCTACAGTACTGTATGTCCATTAAAAAAAAACCTGGCAGTTAGTGTTGAGTGAAAGCTTTACAATTTGAGTTAAAATTGCCAAAATGTGTTGATTAAGAATCTGTAACAATGACCATTCAAAAAGAATTGTAAAATATATGACCATGCTTCACTTGACTAATGCTATTGGCATGATTAAAAGTGTCAGGTAAAGGTTTGTTCTATGCTCAAAGGTAAAGAAAAGAGATAGTTAATGTGTGACACCAGAAGAAGGCTCCACAACCAAAATGTACTGTCTCCTCTCTTTATCTTTCAGTATGGAATAAACCTTTACTTGTTCCTTTGCAGCCTAAGCATGCTGACTCAACTTGAAAGTGCCCTGTCTGGGAAAAAGTGCCAGGAGAATGAAATGTTCTGCATCAACAATTAGCAGACTGATCCAGAGAAATTGAGGATCACAGCTCTGTGAGGAAAAACAAGTCCACTGAGTCTCCACAGTGGTCCAGGACTGCTACTTACTGTAGGTCAGATCCATTTGTGGAATCATCAACTACTGTGTCTAGAACACAAGGAATTTCAGGACAAAATAACATGCACATCAAAACTGCTGTTTTATCTGAGCCGAAGAATATCTGACATAGTGGAGGACATAATGGTGGAGTATTTTGGTGTTAGGTTTACTGCTGGGTTGTTGAAGTCAACCAGAGAAGTGGTAAACATGTCATGGGATGGGGAATAATCTTTAGCGCAAGAATGCCTCTGGTGCAGATCAATAAGTTTTCAGAATTTCTAAAACCAGGACAATTTAATTGTCCAACTTTTCACAATCAGTGAGACTTCTTACAAGCATCTACCAAAGGATTCATAAATTAAATTCAAGACAACAATGACAAAATTACTATGACCTAAAGATTGGAGAGCATCAGCCATAACACCTCATGTTTCTACAGCCAGTCTAATAAAGTCCTGAAATCACGAAAAACAGTTAGCAGAAGAGGCAAGGATTGGGAGACAATGTCCACACATAACAATATAGCAGCAGCATAAAGAGATACAGAATACTGAATGGAAATGGAAAATGTAGATTGAGAGACAGCCTGACCCTGCATTTCACAAAACAAGAAAACACCAGAGGTGAAAGTGTGCAGCCCTGCTGAGTGTTTGGGGGAACTAGGAAGAATACTATTTGATAAAAATCCTGTTTGACAGTGTTATACAGTGTTATACTGAAGAAAGCTCCACTGCCGAAATGTTGTGTCCTCTTTATTCTTTTTTTTCAGCATGGAATAAACCTATTACATGTTCCTTTGCGTTATACTGTTATACTGTTATACTTATATTTTCATAAAGACCCCTAGTTGGTATGAAAGCACCTTATATACAGCTTGAGCTTCAGAACAAATTGGTGAAACTGAATTGCATGGCGCACCTGCTGAGCATTACACAAACAAAGCCCTTGATCAAGGAGTTCCTCTGTTCCTGCAAGCCAACCCAGGAGTGCTCATTTTCCTAGCAGGACAATGTAAGACCACACAGCAATGAACACTGCATTTCCTCCTAGACTTTCATTTTTGTCTCTGTACATCATAGTTTCACTTGCGACCTGTTGCGGGAATGTCACTTCATTTCTCTTGATCCTTCATTTTTCTTTTACTCTAAATGGGTAATCCCATTTGACATACTTGTATATTTATGTCACACATTTTGTGGTGACCATTCAAGCGCTTTTAATGCAACACTTTCCATATTGATTTTTCTTAATAGCTTTTTGGTATTTTCTTTTTTTTCCACTTTTCATATTAGCAGTATGTTTAAATCATGATCTTGCTTGAAGAAAATCATATTAACAAAAACTATAATAGTCCAGGCAGACCAGGGTTCTGAAAAGCACTCTGTGCCATGCACTGCTACTATACACAGCTACCTTTTGAAATCATTCTATTAGAACAATTTTGCTTTGTAGAAGAAAAAACATGCAGTTCAATCCTCACCTTGTCTTTTCTTTGCTTTTCATCCTGATATATGGTCCATCGAAGCCCATCATTACTGAATGCCAACTTATAGGAGCCCACAAACTGTACATGGCCAAAATCTTTGGCACCTTGGGTGATAATGCCAGTGATTTTTGTGGGAAGAAGCAAATCCACCTATTAAATGGAGATAAAGAAAAAGAAAAGACAACATATACACATTCATATGTTATAAAAGAAAGTGTACACTGCTTACTTTTTCTAGCAAGTGTGCATTTTTTTTAATCTTAGAAGAAGATTTATAAAGACATTGTAAAGTCCATGAAAAAGTCAACTTCAATTATTCACAGCAGAAGGACTCAGACAACCTGAGATCAGCAAAATATTTCACAGAGCATAGCAGCTTCAGAGAGAGAATGCTGTTTTTTTCATTCATTCACATTTACTCATTTGTGTCTTTATATCCTTTGATTTGTTGATTGAAACTGTGCCAGGCATCATGGTGACCAAATTCATAATATCATTTGTTTCATGAGATAATCATTAACATGAAATAAAAATCTCAGCATCATAAATATTGATTTTTGTTTTTGAATTGTGAAATATAATTATTGTTTTTAACTTCTAGAATCTATGGGCTAAAAGAGCCTGACATATAGAAATGAGAACAGTTCTTTAAAACAATTATTGATATGATATTAAAACATAAAAGGAAAATTAGAAGATTGTAGATTGAAGATAATAAAAGGATTGAGGTGGAAAGAGAGACAAAGTAGCCTGTATCAATCCATGAATAATTAAATTATGTACAAGGTATACAAATTTACTCTACTGCCCACAAAGCCACCTTAAAACAAATGTGTTATCAAAATAAAATACATTTATGTCTGATAATACTGCAGACAATGGTTTTGGAGATGGCAGGAGGCAAAGTATCAAACAGTTAAAAAAGGTATTAAAATGAATGAATTTAAAATGAAAACTTGTTGTGATATAAATGTTGAATTAACTAATAAATATATAACTATTCTGTGTGACAAGAAGGCTACTGTTGATTTGCCTATTCATTTTTCAATTTGTTCTGATACTTTGAAAATGAAAATAATGTGTGGATTTAGATACAATTCAGACAAAGCATCCTTGTACACCTTTCACAGATGTGAGAAACTCTGGGGAATATTTAAAGTTATATGGAATCAAAATCAAATAGAATATGGAATAGTTCAGGTGGGGAGCTGCGTCAGCATGCGTAGGCTGCAAAGGAACAAGTAATAGGTGTATTCCATGCTGAAAAGAGAAGAAAGAAAACATCGTTTCGGCTGTGGAGCCTTCTTCAGGTGTAAGGCTTACACTCAAAGAAGACTCCACAGCCCAAAACGATGTTTTCTTTGTTGTTTCCTTTCCTTTTCTTTGTTGTTGTTTCCTTTCTTCTCTTTTCAGCATGGAATAAAAATATTACTTGTTCCTTTGTAGAATATGGAATTGTGCATTCAGAAATCTATGGAATATTCATGAACTGTGTATTGCATAAATGTGAAATGATCTGTAAGAACAGAAAATCTTAGAGAAGCACTTTTTAGCAAATCTACTTTACTATAACTTGGCACTGTATCAATATGAAAACATTTTGTATGAGCAAACACGCTAATTTGTAAATTGGTACTGTTCAAAGAAGTGTAATTGTGTTCATACATATTTCCTGTGGACAGAAACCTATGTTGTGGTAGAGTTTACAATGGATATTCTCATTAAAATTCAAAGAAGGCAAATTGTTTCTCATTCAAATTCAAGGAAGGATCAAGGATAAAAGCAAAGTAAACATTTACTATCTCACAAGAGCTATATCAATCAAAAAGCCAAAACAGCGAGAAAGATTAAGATGGGTACAGTAGACCAAGGTATCATAAATCAAAACATGCATTGGATTCTTCTTCTTCAGAAAGGGCTAAATGAGAAAAATAAAACAAGCTAGGGAAGTGATAGATGAGTTTTATTCTCAATTTTTATGTTCTGAGTTTGAACTGCAGGCTAATAAATAACACAACAGCGGTAAAGAAAACAGATGTTCAGATACTAAAACTTAGCATTAGGCCTTTACAGTGAAGAAAGCTGTGGTATCATAAGTGACCTCATGGATTGTGTTTTTCTTAACAATATTGCCACATAAAAAAGGATGCTTTGCCCTTCAGCAAAACAAGCAAATGGATTTACTATGTTTTTCACTGTGTGATTTACTTAATCTACAAATAGCTTTCAGATGAGGTTTTGTGCAGAATGTGCATGGAATACTGCCTTACATTATGTGAATGTAAGCACCCATGAAAATGGTTCAAAGACTGACTTAAAATGCAGTCGGTTATCAACAGCAATTATACTGGAAAACATGAGGGGCATTAGGAAAGTATTATGATTTTTATCGTGTTAAGCACTCTTTTCATTCAAGCAGGTTGTCTGATGTCAATAGATGGGAAATGACACAAATGGAAAGTGTACTTTCCATCCTGCTTACTAAATCTTATTTGTTTCCCAGTCAAAATGGCATCGTACTTGAAGCTTGTGTTTGAATAGAGAGTGCAGATTAAATCTATCACCAGCAGGGGTGGGAAGTATGTTTACAGGCCCAAGTGTAAGGCCCAGTCCACGAAGTATTGTAATGCCAAGGTGTGTAGTTCCAGAAGGGTGGAGAGGTAACCACAGCTGAATGAAATTGTGAAAATGAGATGAAGTTATGGGAGGGCTTTAATAGCAGACTGAAAATGGGAGGACATTTAGCAGATGATCTTGTAGGAGATCATAAAGAGGACCAAGGCGAGAGTGAATGCGAGGGAGTTTCTGAGAATTAGAGTGAGAGATAATATGATAGGAAGAAAGTTGTCATAAGTACAAAACTCTGAGCCCAAGAATTCATGAGCTGAGGGCTCAGGGAGGGTTGGGAATAGATTAGCTCGTGCAGGGTAGACGGTGAGATATGTATAAAATTCTGCCTCATGTCCTAGTTGCTCCGACAAAGGGGGTTGAGTAATAATAACACTCTCGGAGGAGAGTGTGTATAAGTTCGGGAAACTGATTTAGATGTGGTAAAATATTTAATTAAAAGTCGGGGCACGTCAGCTGCTTTGGACAAGCCTATTTTGCACCCAGGTGGTGTCCACGAACCCCTGGGATACTGCAGTTTACATGGAAGAACCACTTTAAAGATGGACAACCCCATGCAGCAGGTGCTCTGAGCCCTTTGAGTGGTACAACTATTCAGCTGACTGCATCACTCACTTTGTTTGTCAAGGATATCACAAGTGACCCAGAGATGAACACATATTGTCTTGAGAAGATCATGCATCTAGTTTTGCAATAAAATAAACACCTGCTCTTACATCACATGAACTTATTGAGTTCGTACAGTGCTATCATAGGGTTTACTCAACACGGCAACACAAAAAAAGACTATACCAAGGCATTCATTTCCTCCTATTCTATAGTCCAGGCCTAGTGCAAAGAAACTTTCATATCCTCGTCCCTTTAAAATAATTATGGTATTGTCAGAGCAGAATGGTGACACATTGGTTAGCATTGCTCCCTTGCAGCACTGGAGCCCTGAGTTTAAATCTGTGTGAAGTTGTGCATGTTCTGGCTCCTCTTGTTTCGTCCCACAATCTACATACTGGTTGATTAACTGGCTTCGGGGAGAAATGGCCCTGGTGTGGGTGTGTGCATGTTTGTCTCTGTGTGTGTCCTGGACTGGATCCCAGCTCTGGCTCCTCTGTGACCCTGTACTGGAGAAAGTGGATGAATGGATAGATGACATTGTCTACATTGTAATGCAATGGTAGTGTTTAATTTGGTACAAACATGGCAGTTTTAATGCTACTAGATGAAATCATATGTTCACAAGATAAAATGTAATACTAGTGACACATTTGATCCTAGCAGTGTAAATCCCAGCAGGATCAACTAATTGACTGAAATGGTTTCATTGGTGACACTGGATTGGTTTGCTCAGCAGCAAGAAAAAACATCTTAGACTGTAGCATCTGGAGAGCAGATATGTTGTTAAAATGCGTATTTGTTTCTTGAAAGAAAATTGTAATCATTCCACCTCATTATCATAATCAACCTACAGGATGACTAATACAGTTAATCCAGTTAGGTCTGTAGATGCCACCACTGATCAGAATAAAATGTTCTGGCACACTACCATGGTTACACAACACACCTGCATCTCTTTTCCAAGACAATAGCATCTTGTATCACAGTGGAGAAAATATATTACAGTAGAAGTAGGTAATACTGGGAAGGCAAACCATGTGTATGTACAGAAACACATTAGATCTCTAACTTATCATATTTAACATGCTATAGCCATGTTCAGTTTATACATGGTTAAATTCAGAAGTTCTCTTCTAATGGGACTCAAAATGCAAAAATTGTGTAAATTAAACTACAATAAAGAAGAAAGTGAACTTCCAGTTTGTAGGACAAGTCTCCATATCTCATTAATAAAGTATAGTATAACTGCTAGTTTCAAAAAACAATGATATGAATGGAATATCCTATAAATATTACTTTTACCGTACCTTAAAGTGCAAATAGAATAGTGCTGTTTTTCAGAGCACTTTTGTAATGGAATGAGTACACTCTCTACACTATCTTTTAATGACTTGTAGAATTTCTCAGACCCTTTGACATATTTCACGATTAATTTCAAGGTTAGAAATATATATCAATATATATACAGTATCGATTCTACCCACAGTGTACTTTCTTGCTCTTTCATTTTAAACATCAAATAGTTCAATACCCTCTGAATGTTCACATCACTCAGCCATTTTTCAATTAAAGTAAAACATTCCAAATGCACAGTTTTTCTTAGACAATTAAGAATTCATCATAGATTAACTTAATTTTACTCATCACACTCTATTAATTTAAATAACTATATCAGGAGTGCTGACTTTTACTCAGTGAGATCTACAGTAGTGGCAATTTGTGCTCAGAGAGTATACAGATTAATTGTATCACGGCAATTATAGTTCCTGTATACTGTATGATGTTAATTTTCTGAGATGAGTGCACTGATATGTAGAATGTTTTTAATTAAAAACAGTTACTGTATAGCTGTCTGCTTACAGTACAGTAGCTGCAACATTGAAATGGCTAGGTGTCACAGTATCTAAAAACAT